CACAATAGCTTGACCAACACTGAAGAAACCCACTTCAGATATCAGTACTAGCTAACTACTGGCCAGAATCCAATCTCCTGTTCCTGACCAAGTACATAGAGAAGCTAGCTAAAGGCCAACTATAAGCTTATCTTATTGAAGCTAGTATCCTAAATCCAGCACAATTTGGATTCAGCCCAGGATTCAGCTTTAGTAGCACTGATGAATTATTTCCTGCTGTCAATGGATAGAGAGTAGACTTCCATTCTCATCCTCCTGAACCTCTCTGGAGCTTCTGATATTGTCAACCATTAGATACTTCTGTCCCGCCTTAGAGAAGTCGAAGGGGACCAAGGAAATGTGCTATAATGGTTTTAAGTCCTTCCTTGTGGAAAGTTCCCAAAGAGCAGTGATGGAAAATTACACCTCACCACTAGACCTCTCATTTGTGGAGTCCCACAAGAATCAATTCTCTCTCCTGTCCTATTCAACATGCAGCACCAGTGAACTGATCAAATGACAGGGACTTAAGTACTAGCAACATGCAGATAACACCAGGGCCGGTGCTACCATTTAGGCAAACTAGGTGGTTGCCTAGGGCGCCAAGATTTGGGGGTGCCAAAAAGCACTTTTTTTTACATCATTCCTACGCCCCCTCCCCGAGCGCGCGGTCGCCGCTCCACTTCTCCTGCCTCCCAGGCTTGCAGCGCCAATCAGCTGTTTGGCACCACAAGCCTGGGAGGGGAGGAGAATTAGAGCGGGGGCGGCGTGCTCGGGGAGGAGGCAGAGCAGAGGTGAGCTGGGGTGGGGAGCTGCTGCACGGCTCCCCGGGAGGGGGGAGTTGCCGTGGGGGGGCCTCAGGGCAGGGGGGGAAGCTGCCGCGGGGGGGGGGGGTGCAAGGTGGAAGTTTCACCTAGGGTGCGAAACTTCCTTGCACCGGCCCTGGATGACACACAACTCTGCCTGTCCTTTGCCATCTACAACCACATCATGACCATCAAGATGCTTGGACAAAATCAGCTCATGGATAAAGCACAACTGGCTGAAGCTGAATCCAAGCAAGCCAAAGGTGATGCTGATGGGTTGAGAAAAGCAATCTGAAGAGGTCCCAGCCATGGTTCAGTCTTCTTTGATTCAAGATACACACTTGCAATCGATCAATTCAGTCTGTAGTTTAGAAGTGTTCCTGGATTTCCCACTAACCCTAAGTTCTCATATAGGAGCATTCCTGAATAATACTTTCTACCATTTCCAGTTGGCTAGGAGATTCCATCCCGTCCTGGTAGATGATGACCTGGGCTTGGTTATACACAACTTTGTCACCTCCCATTTGGACTACAGCAATGAAATATATCTGCACACATCAGCTCTTAGGACACTCCAACTCAGACAGAATGCTGCAGCAGTTCTCAGCAACACAGGCTACTTGAGAATATCACACCTATCCTCTGCTCCCTATACTGACTTGATATTCTGTGGGAAGCCAAGTTCAAGGTTTTAGTGCTTATCTTCAAGGTTCTCCATAGTCTTTGCCCAGGATATCTAAAAGGGTCTCCTAAAGCTTTGGGATGAAGATTGTCATTGACAGTTCTGCTTCTCAGGCACAATAGAACTTTCTACCATAAGGGTTAAACTTGTCTGTTCTGGAGATAGGACTTTCTCAGGGGCTGGTCGAAACTGTGGAATGAACTCCACACAGGAAATAAGGATCATCACAAATCTCATCATCTTCCAATTCAAATGCAAGGTACATTTCAACCTTGCCTTCCCTAACATAAACACAGGGTAGTGTCTACATTAAACCAAAAACAAAATCCTACCAAAACAAAATTCTGCACTGTACATGCAATTTTCACAGTGGGAAGAGGATGAGCGAAAGTACACAAAGCACATGTGACAATCGTTACTTATGCTGCTTAATGCACTGCTGGAAGGTGCTCAGATACTGTGGTGATGAGGGCAGTATAAGAACCTAGACAGAACAGAAAAAACCCCCCAGAACCTTTGGATGAATTTTCAGGGTGTGAACAAAGTTTGTAACATATCACAGGTCATGGAACAATGCTGGGAATACCATGCCCAATCTGCCAGATGAGTTTACCAGGTACCACCAGATTACATTCCTATATAACAAGCTCAAACCAAAACGCTCAGAATAGAATTTCTACTCCAAGTACATTCGCTCCCACAAGGCACCACAACAGAACATGAATTGTGGATTTCAGCATGCAAATCATGACATTGATGTAACAGTTTTAAATCAGATCTTGCCATGAGTTTTACATTTATTTCATCACCTCACAGACTATTCACAGTTTGGTTCCTAGTGTTAAATTACTATGACTGAAAGAAATACTATGATTAACAGAAAAAGGCATACAATTGCTAAGATTATGAAAGGAGGCCAATGGGTTTTGTTTGGTTTTCTGGGTCATTAGTACTCAATCAGTTTTAAACTTGCATATGTGGCAAGACTGGATCTTTTTATAAGTGGCAGATTTTAGAGCTCTCTAAACCTCATTTTAATCCACAACCAGAACTGACTGGGTCAGCTGGACAGCATCCAGGATCGGCTCTACCATTTTTGCTGCCCCAAGCAAAAAAAAAAAAGCCGCTCGGACTGCCGCCCGAACTGCCTAAGCAAAACAAACAAAAAAAGCTTCCTGGACTATGCCGCCGCAAGAATGGAAGGAATGCCGTCCCTTAGCATGTGCCGCCCCAGGCACGTGCTTCCTCTGCTGGTGCCTGGAGCCGGCCCGGACAGCATCAGTTATTAAATATATCCTAAACAAAACCTGGTGGGATTGCTGGCTTTTGGTATGTATAATGGAAGGGCTTCCTCAAATCCTTTGTATTTAAACACAGGAGCATAAAGTGTTATAGATGTTATTAATGACAGGAAAAACAATTGAAGGAGGGATCTTATGTGACCTGAACTAGTGGGTAGTCATCAGGTGGGAAGACAAGATATCAGTGGAGTAACTTCACAGAAAGAATGGGCCTGGGAATCAGCCTGGAGAATAGACACTAAAAATCTTGAGTGAGAACACCTATTTATTGTGTCATTGATCCTAAAAGTGGAGAATAAAAACAATGAAAATTATGATCATTTATACACATGCATCTGACGAAGTGAGTATTCACCCACGAAAGCTTATGCTCCAATATATCTGTTAGTCTTAAAGGTGCCACAGGACTCTCGGTTGCCATTTATACACAGAAAGGCAAAGAATTAGTGCAAGATCACTTTATATAGAGAAGAGATTCAAATACTGTGATTAAAGGGAATTGTCAACTTAAAAATCACATTTCAATCTGAAAATTTTGCACCAACTAGAATTACAAGTGAGCATAAAGATGCCTATAAATGAGAGAAGGTAAAGGAAAAACACTACTGTATTTTGTTTGCTTTGTGTTTTTGATAATTTTGTATATTGTCAGTTTCGCTGTTTTGTTTTTATTATTTTCTAACATTTATAGTGTAATCCTAAATCACTTAAAAAAAGTATGGGTAGACCTGACAATGATAATACATGGTAAGATAAAACATTTGACACTTAATTTCTTCTTTACTTACCCATCGAGACCCAAGTGTAAGCTTTTGTATTTGCGCTGCATCACCTGATGCAATCTAACCCATAAAATACTGCCCTTCCTGAACTGCTTTAGTTAACTGCAATGTCATTAACTCTTGGAAGGAACACAATATGCCCTGAAATCAGAGGGTGGCAGATAAACAAGAAGAATGACGAGAAGCAGTATGGTCTACTATTTAGTGCACAGAACTGGGAGTCAAGAAATGTGCTGTAGACTCTAATTCTACTTCTGTCTCTGACTCACTGTGAACACTTGGGGAAGTTTCAACTTCTCCTTTTCTCAGTTTTCCCATCTGTAACATAGGGTTAATAATAATACCCTACTATCTCTGTTAGGTGCACTGATTTCGTCTTAGGAAAAGTGGTGTAAGTGCAATATATGATTGCTATTTTAAAATATTTTATTTTAAAAGTAAATTCACTCTGTAATTTAAGCCTCCACAATATTCTGTTACTAACTTGGGATCTCATACAATTTTAAACGTCTTTTTTAAGTTTACAGTTCACCTTTAATAAGTCTCTCTTATTCCATTTCTGATGTGTTAGCTGAACTCTCCAAATGAACTTCAAGGAAAGAATAATGTACTGCAGGTTAAAAAGCTTAATTACTGCATTTAGAAAGCCAGTACAATATCTATTAAGTATGCAAAGAAATTTGAGAATGTAACATCTTTCAAGTCCCAAAGGATACAGCTAAAATGTTAGGGGGAAAATAGCTTAATACAAATTACACAAAATCACAAAATCGGAAGTCACTTAATAATTTTAAGAGGTTGATGAGATGACACATGGGTGACAACTAAAGGGAACCTCATTCCCTTGGGGTAATGAATTACATTTTAATGCTTCAAAAGTCAGCTACTTGAGGATGTTCTGTTCAGTTACAATATTTGTTTGGCAGCAAAAGAATGTTAACTCAGAGATACCCATCACACTGGGGCACTGAAGTGAACAGGATAAAGCTAAAACAGATGAAATATTATTACAACAGACTGTGCTATTGTGTTAACATGAAAGCCACACTAGTAACCTTGTTCACCTTTCGTTCTTGACACTGATTGAGTATCTTGGAGTGAAGTTACACATTAAGGGACAGATGTAGCAATGTAGTCCCATTGATATCAATGGTACTATTCATGTGTTTAAAGTTAAGCACGTTTCTAAATGCTTTGCAGGATCAGAGCGTAAACCTACAGAGAATAGCAACCTTGACAACACACTCAAGATCCCAAAGAATTCTTGATAAGATTATAATTCCGAAATGAACAGACATCAAGTTATAGCTAATTTTACAACCATCATTGTGGTGTCTGATGCACATATCATAAATCCTACACAATTTGTTGTTTGTTTTAAGATCATAGTCACTTTTTTGTGATTGAAATCAAACTGAAGTAAAACCCTTGGACAGCAAACAAGGCTCACCATTAGCATCGTGGGAATACTCTATTCCAGAAACAGTGCATCTTCGGAAAACCATCTTATTTTCAGTAAGAGTACCAGTCTTGTCTGAGAATATATATTGCATCTGCCCTAAGTCTTCTGTGATGTTTAAAGCTCGACACTGTAGCTGAGAGTCTGTCTCTTCATCATATAAATCCTTGTCTTGATGAATGAAGAACACCTGGCATGCTTTAACTATTTCAATGGATACATACAAAGAAATCGGAATCAGAACCTAAAACACATGGAAAACACACTAATTAGGAGAAAAGAGGGGCACTGATATTATATTGAATTGATATAATCTAATCAACTTTATGGCAGACTAAAATCACAAAGAGTGTATGTACTATACTTTACCTTAAAGAATTTAATAGGCTTAGATTCAATATTGTAAAATAATTAGAATTTTTGCAAGGAGTTTACTTGGACAGATTAGAAAAGCCTATGGTGCAATTGTAGAGCTGAAATCCATAATTATGTCTGGAAATGTGATTATCAAGGCTTGGAGAGAAGCAAACGTTTTCGGGGTAATAAGATGAGCTTGAAAGAAGCTAGGAAAGGAAAAGAAGGGAGGGGGAGAGGAACATACAGTACAGTCAGAATCCTGCAAATACAAAAGAATATCTTGCATCAAAAAAGGGATGAATAGCTCCCAAATTTTATCTGTGTAAATAACAGGCTCTACTAAATTAGCTTTCCAGGAACAGGAGAGGTAAAATGAATGATTGGTGGAAAGTTCTGCAGAGAAAGCAATGTTGTCAGTTGCAATTTTTGAGCAGCAGTTCAGCTGAATGAAGAACATATTTTGTAATTGCTGAACAAAGTGTTAAGCTAAGAGAGTTTTCCTGAAAAAAAATAATTCAGCAGTTTCTTGGGGATTTTCAAAAATCCATGAAAGACATCATTTCTAGTTGACTGTTCCTTGCACATGTTTTTTCAGTGCAGAAATTTCTGGTTATATACAAAATTTAGCTTGGTCAATTAGACTAGTGGGGTGAATCGCAGTACATATACAAGTACCAAGGGTGGTTATTTAAACAAAACCTATAGTAAAGGGTGCATACTTAAGTAGATCTGTTCTGAGTTTTCTTTAATAGAAAAAAACCTCTTAATACATTAAAATCATAATCTAGAAATGGCAAAGGCCATTATTTAATCCATCCCTCTTCAGTGCAAGATCGTTCCCTTCACTAGTATGCTATCTTCTAGTGGTCTGTCAGTTCTAGTTTTACATGTCCCAAAGACAGACATCCACACTTCTCTTGACACACCATAGTATTCAACATTATGGTAGATCTCATCATCAGAAGACTTTCTCCTCCCTGCATCCCCCCAATATTCTCCTCCTATGTATAGACGCTGAATGATGACAACTCTAGTCATTTACCTCCTGTATAAATTCTAAACAGTTTGGGGCCATTAAAGAGTTAAATCCCAGCATGAACCTTGTCCTAGTAAGGTACCTGCATTCCAACCCCACCAAGGTTCTAGGTATTCCTCCAAGGTAGGCGGGTAACTCAGCTTTTGCAGCCTGGTATCCCACAGAGTGTGAAGTTTGCTGCTCCCCAACAGGCACCCTCCTCATCTTAGCCCATCTTGCTTGTTAAAAAAACAACACACCTAGAATGTTTGGGACAGAACCGCAGCAGGTGTGAATTGTCACAGCTCCACTAAAGTCAATGGAGGGAAGACAATTTGGAGCATCTGTCCATTGATTTTTTTCAGAGCTGTTTTCATTTTGGTCACCATTAGCACATTAATGAGGCTCTTTTATTTTTCTGGCAACATAATATTTTATTCTTCATTTTCATGCTTTAATTGTATTGTATCTAATTGTATTGTATTTTAAACACTTAATTAGCACCTCAAGTTCCTTGGTGGGAGAAGTTGGGCTCTCTTTCTCTATATATAATTATTAGCATCAGTAAACTGTGAACACAGGAACCAGTATGGACAACGTTGTTACCTGAAAAACTATTATCATTGTCAAAAATAAATATACTGCAGCTAGAACTGGGGATAAATAGTTGCCATCAAGCCCGGGAACATCGAAAACTGGTTTCTTCTCACCATATTGCCACACCCATAGGCCATGACCTGCAGAAAAGTTGAAATAGATGGAAACTTAAATTAACATCAAGACATTAAAAACAACACAGCATTGGTTTATTTTGTATGTGTTGGTCTTTAAAAGTGACCAGCAAAGGGGAAAAAAAGGGGAGGGGGAGCTTGTGCCTTTTCCTACTTTGTTATGATTTATGAGATAGGCCTGAAATGTTTTTTTTTTTAATATGCATTTTCTACGTTGGAAACTCAAGTCTTGTCTGCCCTGGAAGACTCCATGACAACTAGAGAACTAGTGAAAAGGTGGCCATCACAAAAGTCAAAGGAATAGAAGCTGAGCAACTAAGACGGGAAAAGATTTTAGTCAGACGATTTCAATCTCTTTGTTGTCTTTCTCTGTTAATTCCTATTTAATGCAAGGAAAGTATTAACATTTTGGAGCAATGATGTCTTTACCAAAGATACGGCAATCCCACCCTTTTAATTAGGGTGTGAGAAAAATCAAACATATACTCTGAGATATATAATAGGTTTTCCCATCCCAGCCAGGAAAGACCTGAGATGTTATCTCTGATATTTATATTAAAATCAAGCAGAAAAAACCTAATACCTTAACACCCCCCCCCGAAACCTGACAATCTTTCAGGCCCTATTCTTTATATGTCATAAAGCAACAAAAAAGGAGTAAAGCCCATTAAAAAAATCCTTTGAAAGGCACCTCTATCAAGTTTCTAAACTGCCCCCTGTCCCACACTGAAATAACAATAAATAAAAATGACATTGTCTCACTAAATATTTTGCAGCAGTTCAAAGCTTTACATTTATGCTCTGATGTGTCTATGGCTATTTTTAATAATCTAGAGTAAAAATGCTAAAAATTCTGCACTTGCAATGGATTATATCTAGTTTCTTTTTACTAAATGTTTTGATTTTCAAATGACCTAGTGATTTTAGATGCCACGAATTTATGAATTCCCAACTTATGGAGATGTCTTAAAAGGGCTTGGTTTTCAGAGGGTGGGTACTCAGCACTCTGAAAAAACAGGGCCCTTCTCAAGGTGATTCAAGATGGGCAGCCCAAAATTGAGGACCCCCAGATCTCTAGTCACTTTTTCAAATCTTGGTCTCTCATTTTAGTTCATATTTGATAGACAATATTTATAAGAAAGTTATGGGGATACACAACTCATTTTAACAACTGGCAAAAAAAGAAAAAAAGAACCACTTCTGTTACTAGGATTCTACTCTAAAACAAATTGGAAATCGTTAGGATGAAATGCTGGTTTTGGATATGCGAGTTGCCCATTGAACTCAGTGGAAACAAAGAGCATAATAATAGTTTTGCCCTCAATTTTCATCTTTAAAGAGGATTATCAACAGCTGGAAAAAGACACAATTAAGGGTATTAAAATAACACAGAAGTTTCGGTAAAATACATTTAAAGTTGCCAAGAAAAATTCCAGAACTTATGTACTACACACAACCAAAACAAAACCCAAATATTACAAAATATGGACTTCAAAACAAATAGCTAAAGAAATGTTTTGCACACAAACCTTTATACCAAATTCTCAGTCACAGAGCAATACACACACACACACACACACACACAGAGTCTAACCAGAACCCAAACAAACTTACCCCTGACCCTCTATTTTTGTTAAAATTTTCGATGCCAGTTACAATTCCATTGAAGTCAATGGTAGTCTTTTCTTTGACTTGTCCTTTGAATTTGGCCTTTAAATAATTTTTAATATTATAAGTTTGGATACTTAAGTATGGTAGGTTAATATTGTATATTATGAGTCCCTGTTTTCATCTAATACAGCTAGGTGAATGGTATTGTGCTAGTTATGTTTACTCTGTGTTCATATATCACCCTAGCAACTAAGTATGTGCCAAATTCTGCCACCCTTAGTCATGATCAATTGATTTCAAAGATACTACTTTTGAAGTAGGGCACTACTCATTGCTACTGAAGGTGGCAGAGCCTGACCCAATATTTGTCTGATTTGGTCTAGTAATGGTATGCAGTTGATGGTTATTAAAAGATTACTATTTGGATGAGCTTATGTACAAAGCTGAAGTTTCCTACAAAAACCCCAAACTTTACATAGAAAAGGAAGTAGCTACATGAAAGAAGATATACATTTTTGAATTTTTAAAGCAAAGCATGTGACTCTTAGGATAGAGTTTGGTCGACTTAACTTTTATTTGTAAAGAGAACTTACCAATGGCTGAAAATAGACACATGACTATAAGTATGAGGACACACCAAAGGACATCAATATTCATCTGTCTTTCAAGCTTACTGCGCTTGTAACGTGGTCCACTGTTATTTAACAAAGCTTTGGTCTCGTGCCCTGCAGAAGCAATTACATTAAACAATATAGATATTTGTTGACAGTCTAAGGAAACTATCGAGTGAACATGTAAATTAAAAGAGAAAAGCTGTCTTTTACCTGCATAGATTACTATCCCTGTAACCTCTTCTGTGTTCCTAACAGTACATCCACGCAACAAAAGGTTTTCTTTATATAGTCCATCCCTTTTCCCACTTTTATGTACACTGCAAAAGATTTAATAACAGAACTTGACACAGAGAATCAAAACTTTCAGTTACTGAATCACATCCCCACTGAGTAAAACAAATTTGCGGATTATCCCCAAAGCTTAAATAGTCAGCTACCCATACACTGGCCTAAGGACAAAGGACTCTGGGATTAACAAGCAGTTTTGACACCACAGATATTCCATGGAGGATATATTTGGGTCCAATGAAAGGGAAGTGAAGGGGAAAGATGTACGTGCATGAGTGAGAGCAAGATGACTGCACTACATATTTCTGACTGACTGCTCTTTAAAGAAGAAATGGCATGTACTTTATTATTATGGAGGTTCTAGTTGTGGCTGTACTCCTGAGTTGAGTTTTGCACTTACAGTACTATAAAGATTATTTTTGAAGAATTCTACAAAATATTTTTATAAGTATCCCGTGTGTCTCTGTTTTTTTTTCTATTTTCTAACCAGTAAATGTTTCTTTTTCCCTTTCCAATTCTCAATCTCTTGTATTCCCTGGGTCCTTTTGACCCAATTCTGTCTCTGGGAACTCTGTGATCCCTTTCTCCTTGCTCTTCTCCATTCCCTCCACAGCCTACTCACCCTTACTCTCTTTGGCCCTCTCACTCTGATCTCCTTACTGCCTGCTAAACAGGATCAAATTAAGAATTCTTGGGGTTCTAGGCACAGAATATCCTGAAGTCCCACCCGGTTATAAAATACTTAAACTTTCCTAGATGATTAAAAACATGTCATTTAAAGAATTAACATCATATGGGAACAACACAAGCACCATAGCCAGATATTAAGGATTATATGTTTAGCTAAAAATTAAAAATTCACAGCTAACAGGTTCCCACTGCCGACTTGATATTGTATGTGAATTTAGACATTAAATGCCCTAGCTATTCCATGCAAGCACTGACAGAGAAAAAAAGATAATGAGTTCACTACAAGGGAACAGAGGTGGGTGAGGTAATTGGTTATTGGACCAACTTCTGCTGGTGAAAGAGACAACCTTTTAAACAACATAGAGCTCTTCTTCAGTTGAACAGCTGAGAATCAATAATCTCTGGCTCGTGTCAGCATTTAGATCGTGGAAAATAGTTTTCTATCAATATGTGCATCTGAGCAATTGTTAACACTGCTGACTCCAATTACATTTAGGGAATGTGCAGCACATGGCACCTAGTCTTTTGGTGGATTTTCCGTGACAGATGGGCCTGCAGAGTATTGGAACGATCAGTCACATCACTAGCATTATCATACAATTGCCCACAGCCGTTAGACTCATCCAAACCTAGGTTATTTATCATAGCCAGCGCAGCTTCAGCTAGGTTTGCCCCTGTGTGGTTCTCAAGGGGCTGAAACCCAATTATTTGGCCCTCTGAATGAGAAATCAGAAAATGAATGTGAGCTGGTCTACAAGTGCTACATCAGGTCGTGAATCAACAATTACAGAGAAATACTTGGCTTGCTGCAATTCTCTTACTATGGTGTTTTTAATTTTTTTCCCCATCAATTCAATGAATTTGTCACCTACAGTTGAGGACAGGTAGGATGGCTTTCCCCTTCTGTCCAAATTTAGCAAAGTGGTCAGCCAGACATGGATCAAACTGTAATATTAGCTCAAAAATCCCCAAATCTCTTCCATAGCTTTTGGATCCTAATACTTCATCCTGACCCTGGAAGACAAGCCCACAAGTACTTAAACTTTGTATCTGTCACCACACACTGAAGAATGTCTCTTCAGTACGGCTGTTCTGAATTAAACTGGTGTGCCATAGCAGAGTCAACTCTACCAGATTGGGATTTTTTTAAAGTTTTAATCGAGTTAGCACACAGGTTCAGTGTTCTGTACCCCTCTCACGTTTGAAAGTTGCTTCAGATGTTTCCAATTCCCAAATCCTTTTGTAAAAGCATACAATGCACCCGAGAAAAGCTTAATTGCAAAGCAGTAAACATTTCCAGTAGATGGAGAGTAAATAATCCAATATCATGCAACAACTTCACCACTGAAGAGACAAAATGAAAAAAGTTCTTCAGTGAACACTCTTTTCTTCTCTGCAATGACCTGCACAGAAATCAGGAAGTTTTCTACCTCTGCATTTCTATGCACAGCTGAACCTTTAGCAATCCCAAACAGTCTATTGTTTTCATTGAATTTTCTCCACAGTGTGGGATATGTGGAAATCTGGATGTTCTTTTTATCCAGGTAAATATAAGAAGTCTAAGATATTTCAAATTAACCACTAAGTGGTAATAAGATCAGCCTCTATAAACAACTGCCTGACCACCGAAGCCAAACAGACAAAAAAGTGGGGCATCAGGATATATGAAAAACTCTTAGTAAACAAAATAACATCTATCCTAGCTGAGTACTTACTGTTTGTTATTTATGTACTGACAAAAACTGCATTTACGTCAGAGAAACAGGGGGAAAATGCCTGGGAGAATGGATTGCCACAAGGGAAATATTAAGAATAAAAAAATTACTTCTTACATCAGTAGCACTAGAACATTGCTAAGAGGGTTAAGGGGGGAAGAAAAGTCAAATAACTTTTATAGACCTGCTGTGTATGAATGAAATTCCACATAACAAACTCCAGTATCTTAATGCTGCAGAGCAGATGGTGAAGGAAAATTGGAAATATTTTAACTACTGTGCATTCATATAAACAGCACCGAAAGTAGGATTCTTAATTTTTCAAAACAAATTGGAATGCAGAGCTAATAAATAAAGAGAAATGTTGAGAAACTGAATGCACTAGAATAAAGATATCTAACTGCTGTTGCTGCATAATCCAACTTTATTTTTATGTTTATTTTTCTATATGTTATTTTATATAGTAGATTTTGCCACCCTTAAGTATGGTACAGTTTAACACCATGTATTGCAAATCCTGAGCATTTAAAAAAAACAACAACACCATGAACCAGGACCCCCAATATCATGAAATTGTTAAAACGTCGAGATTTTTTTCATTAAAAAATTGGGTTCTTTTTATTTGTCTTTGGTTTATGAGCCTTTAAGATGCACTTGGGTCATGTGTTCATGCTTTTCTTCACAACCCGAGTGCTAGAAACGTATGCTTTTTAAAAACAAATGCTGAGATTCTAACCTTATCACATGCCTTTAGGAGCTGTGGCTTTAAAAACCACACCAAATATCATGAGACTAGCAGTAAAATCACCAGAATTGGCAACACTTAATCTGTGAAAACACTGAGACTACTCTCAGAGTAAAGGACTGCTCATTTGAGTAGCCCTCAGTGTGTGCATAAAGCATTACACAGAAAAAAAGAAAACACACTCCCGGCCTCAAAGAGTTTGCAATCTGATTTAGATGACCAGGTGAGAGAAAGAACCATGGTATTGCCAAGTGTTTTAGCAGTGGGAAGGTGTGGATTTTAGATATGTTATAGATACAGCAGTGATTATATCTGGCAAGAGACCAGAACTGAGGAGAGAAGGAAAAGGAACTGGTAAGATTACCCCGAGTTTGCAACTTTGAAGCACAAATGGTTTCTGCCACTCTAGTAGAGAATACCCCTCAGCAGTTCTAAGATAGCAGAACACATTTTCATTTTATTGATTTCTGAGTTACCAAAATTCTGCTTTTGTCCTCTCTCATCACTGTCCCATCCCTTGATCATGGACTTCCTAAGTTTGTGCTCAGCACAATAAGCAGCAATCATTCACTGCCAGCTTGGAACTCTGAGTATTTGGGATGTATCAAAGATTTATACAATCTAGGGAGAATAATTTGTTAAATTATCCACAATGAAACTGCAGTAATCCTACTATTCTGAGTACTATGCCTTCTCTTCTTTTTGAGACCAAATCCTCCTGAAGTTTGACTTGTGAATTAGTAGGATGTTAGCTTAAGTTTCCAGTAAAGTCTCCAAATTGTAGTTAACTTCCCTGTTAATAAATGGACTTGATTTTCACAAATCTACTGGAAAAGTAATAGCTCTGGTTTGTGATTTTATATCCCACACATGTTCTTTATAGATGACTGTTAATGACAGCAGAGAGCGATATATATACTGTTCACTATAAAATTGTGTATACAGTTATAACTAGGGCCCTACCAAATTCAGGGTCCAGTTGGTCAATTTCATGGTCATAGGATTTTAAAAATTGTAAATTTCATTATTTCAGCTATTTAAAATCTGAAATTTCTCAGTGTTGTAATTGTAGGGGTCCTGACCCAAAAAGGAGTTGTGGGGGATGGGTATCGCAAGGTCATTGTAGAGTGGGGGTTGCGGTACTACTACCCTTACATCTGTGCTGTTGCTGCCTTCAGAGGTGGACAGCTGGAGAGTGGTGGCTGCTGGCCTGGAGCCCAGCTCTGAAGGCAGAGCTGCCGCCAGCAGCAGCACAGAAGTAAGGGTAGCATGGTATGGTATTGTCACTCTTACTTCTGCACTGCTGCTGGCAAGGCGCTGCCTTCAGAGCTGGGCACCTGGCCAATAATCACCACTCTCCAGCTGCCCAGCTCTGAAGGCAGTGTAGAAATAAGGGTGGCAACCAACACCGCAACTCCCCTAAAATAACCTTGTGACCCCCCTGCAACTCCCTTTTGGGTCAGGCCCCCCAATTTGAGAAATGTTGATTTCCCCCATGAAATGTGTATAGTATAGGTCAGTGGTGGGCAACCTGCAGCCCATCATGGTAATCTGCTGGCAGGCCGTGAGACCATTTGTTTACATTGACCGTCCGCAGGCATGGCCGCCTGCAGCTCCCAGTGGCTGCGGTTCGCATTAGTAGGAGCATTGCCAGCAGATCGAGGGAAGTGATTGTTCCCCTCTATTCGGCACTGGTGAGGCCACATCTGGAGTATTGCGTCCAGTTTTGGGCCCCCCACTACAGAAAGGATGTGGACAATTTGGAGAGAGTCCAGTGGAGGGCAACAAAAATCATGAGGGGGCTGGAGCACATGATTTACGAGGAGAGGCTGAAGGAACTGGGGTTATTTAGTCTGCAGAAGAGAAGAGAGAGAGGGGA